TTTTTTAAAAAGAAAGAAAAGAAAGTTATTATAAGCATGAGCAGAATGATACAAAACAAGGCTTTGGGTTTGAATATAATTCTGACTTCCTCCTCATTCTCTTCTCCAAGGTAACTGCAGAGGCTATTTCCTGGAATGAATCAATAAGTGAAACAAATCACTCCATGGTGACTGAGTTCATTTTTCTGGGACTCTCCAATTCTTGGGAACTCCAGATTTTCCTATTTGTATTCTTCTTTGTATTCTATGTAGGAATTGTGTTTGGAAACCTTCTTATTGTCACAACTGTGTCTTCTGACTCCCACCTTCACTCCCCCATGTACTTCCTGCTGGCCAACCTCTCACTCACTGATCTGTCTCTGTCTTCAGTCACAGCCCCCAAGATGATTACTGACGTTTTCAGTAAGCACAAAGTCATCTCTTTCAAAGGCTGCCTTGCTCAGATATTTCTCCTTCACTTTTTTGGTGGGAGTGAGTTGGTGACCCTCATAGCTATGGCCTTTGACAGATATGTAGCGATCTGTAAACCCCTTCAATATACTACAATTATGTGTGGCAATGTATGTATTGGCATTGTGGTTGCAGCGTGGGGGATTGGCTTCCTTCACTCAGTGAGCCAGTTGGCCTTTGCAGTAAACTTACCTTTCTGTGGTCCCAATGAGATTGATAGCTTTTATTGTGACCTTCCTAGGGTAATCAAACTCGCCTGTACTGACACCTACAGGTTAGATATTATGGTCATTGCTAACAGTGGTGTGCTTACTGTATGTTCGTTTGTTCTCCTAATTATCTCCTACACTATCATCCTAATGACCATCCAGCTTCGTCCTTCAGATAGGTCATCAAAGGCTCTGTCCACTTTGACTGCTCACATCACAGTAGTCCTTTTGTTCTTTGGACCTTGTATATTTATTTATGCCTGGCCATTTCCCATCAAGTCATTAGACAAATTTCTTGCTGTGTTTTATTCAGTGGTCACTCCTCTCTTGAATCCAATTATATATACACTGAGGAACAAAGACATGAAGACTGCAATGAGACAGCTGAGAAAATGGAATGTGAATTCTAGGGCAAAGTCTTAGGTCTTCTATAACTGTGAGATTAATCTGATATAATGACATAATATATAGTAAAGTTGGTAAACTATTTAATAAAGTTCATGAAAATTCTACCTTACGTTCCCATTATCACTTAGTAATTGACAAAGAATTTTCACATGCACTGCCTCAATTTATCTTTCAACAACTTTGTATGTTATATTTTTGGATACATATGCAAAGTTAACATCATGCTTTCAAAGTACTGTCTCACTAATTCTTAGGACAATAAAAGGTATAAATATGTTAGTATTTGTGCACACTTGTGCCTTGCTGAGTGATACTGAGTTTAACAGAGACAAGGATAAAAACTAGCTTAACATAAAAGTTTTTTTTTTTCAATTTTATTTGGTTCCTTTTTCTCTAACACCATTAAGAAATGAACTGCCATATATCTAACTCAAAAAAATATGTTTAGTAATAAAGATATATCAATCAACTTTTAAGAAGTTTAAAAAGGAAACTCCTCCCACTGTAACAGTTTATAGTTCACCTTCTATCATTATAACAACTCATAACCCATGGAAGCATTATCAGGAGTGATAGGAAGAATGAGTTTGCCAATGTGAAATTTGCCTTGTAGACACTTGACATCCTGTGGTATATACAACTGCTCATAAGCAATGAAAAGAATTTAGAGGGATCCAATCTCTCAACATGGCACAAAGTTTATCACTTGGATCCATCTATGTTATTTTTCCATGATTAGCTTTTATGAGAACAGGGGTTAAAGTCAGAAAAAGCTGGTTCAACTCTAATTATCCCTTACTAATCATGAATTTCTGTACATTATTTAGCTTTCATAAGTTTTAGTTTCCACATTTATAAAAGGGAGATAACATTTATTACATATGGTTATTAAGACAATAATGAGACAATAGATATGAATCAGCACAATTTGTGGCATATTTGGCACTCAATAAATGTTGGGTACTATTATAATTATTATATAAATCCTGTATATGAACAAAGCCAAAAGTTCTCAACCTTTATTTTTTTCAACATGCTTTAGGGATATGACACACTCCAATCTTACCAGACCCTCATTTGGGGCATTGCAGTTTTAAGTGGATGTGTGTATATTATGTGCAAGTGTGTACTCAAGCACACAAATGCTACCACCCTAGGAAGGCATGCTGAAAATTCAGGACAGAAGTAGAAGGGAATATAAGCCGGAAAAAAAATGACAAGTGTTTCTGACAAATATCTCCTCTCTCCAGTGAGAATCACTGAACCAAGATAAAACTGAAGATTAAATATTCCACAGAAAAAGGAATGTAGTTTGTCAAAGTGTGGCTTGAAGTAATAGGTCAGGAGAGTCAGATGATAAAAGAGTCAAAATTATGTTTATCCCAGGAAAAATAGGAAATCCATAAGTAGATTAAAAACTTATGGATTAAGTTTTTAAAACTTAAGAAAATTAGGGAATGATAATGACAATATCTGACATCAGTGGGAAGAGGAAGGACCTACTAATGAGATGGTGGAATAACTGGATAGCAATATGGGAAAAGACATATTGGATCGATTTGGGATACCACTATGCCAGGACAATTTCTCAATGAATTCAATACATAAATATTTTTATAATTTATACAAATTTTAAAATAAAACATAAGCCAATTTCTTTCTTTCTTTCTTTCTTTTTTTTGTCCTTTTTGAGACCAGCCGTACAGCGCTCAGCCAGTGAGCGCTGTGTGCGCACCGGTCATCCCTATATAGGATCCGAACCCGCGGCGGGAGCGCTGCTGCGCTCCCAGTGCCACACTCTCCCGAGTGTGCCACGGGCTCGGCCCAAGCCAATTTCTTTATAATCTATTAATATGGTAAATATTGATCACATTGACTATATAAAATTGATTTTTTAAATGCATGATAAAACTACCAGAAAAGTACAAAGATAAATGAGGAGAAAGTGTTTATAATTTACATCATGAAGAGTAATAGTTCCAATATATAAGGAACTTCCTTTAAAAACCCAACAAAGTCATACAGAAATGGGCAAAACATATGAATGTTCAGTTTCTACATAAGGAGATGCAATATTTAAATACATGAAAAAATGTTCAAGGTCTCTCATGTTGATATATGCAAAGTAAAATGATACTTAAATATGAGTTCTGACCTATATCAAATACCTGATCGCAATATTTAATAATACAACCTGTTGATGAAATTGTAAATAAAGAAGTATTTTTATGCATTGTTGGTGAGAATATAAAATGGCATAACCTCTTGGCAATATCTAGAAAAATTAAATAAACAGTGCACAAGGCTACTCATTAAAGCATTGTTTTTAATAGCAAAAGAATGGAAAAACCCACTTACAATGGGTTTATCAGGATGCAACCTCATCACAAGTCAAGGAATATTTATAAATAATTTATAAATACATATTTTATAATTATTTTAATAAGCATATTTTAAATGGTAAAAAAAATAATTTTAAAAATGCTTTCTTATGGCAGGAGGAGAAAACACAGGGAAGCACAGGGATAAAACCTAGGCTTCTTAAAATATATTTTATTTAACAGTGATGACTTTGGAATCATGTAACTGTTTTACATAATTTAAAATGAAATTAAATCAACAGAAAAAAACTGCAATACCTAAAAATCAAGTTAAACCAACACAAGTGATTTAATGGCATTTTAATTAGGAAGTAAAACATCCAAGAAAAGAATTGCTTCATTGGACACTAAAACACAGTCAGAATATTGTGTAATATATCCTGGGAACAGAAAATATGCAAAGAACCCAAACTGCCTACTTGTTGTTAGTAGTAACATTAGTTTTACTATTTTAAAAGTATTATATATTTGAATAAAGCAAATAAGTAATTATGTTAATACCAACAGGAATCAAAAATTTCAGCAGTAAAGAAATACAAATTAAAACTGCTAAGTAAATAATCTGTGTTCTTTAATCTAAATTAGAAATTATTATAAACTAATCATTTACTTCTCTTTTACTAAAAATATAAGTATTTGTTAACTCTGTCCACTAAGAAGACCTAGAAATAATGAGAGACAAGTAGCAATGAACACATCTTATGCCCTTGTATGGACTTAAATACTGTTTACCACTAAAAAGGATAGGAGCTTTTTGGATAAATGGTTGATTTTAGGTCTGAAGCAGAAATATACAGGATGATTCTGGAATATTTTTACGCCTCAATGGCCAGAAGCTAAATAAGACTATTGGAATAATGTCAAAATAACAGAGGAGCCAACTTGAACAGTCTACCACTAACCAGAAATGAAACCATATGAGCATCAATAACAGTAATGATGAATGTAATAGATTAAAGAAACAGTATATAAAAATATCTATGAGGTCACAATAATTCTCAAAATAAAAGATAGTATATTGCTTTGCTTTGAAGGTCAGTAGTGTGACTACATAATATTCTGAAACTTAGTGAATAAAAAGAATCAAGTATTTATTCTGCCTTTCTGATGTGATGATTTTTGAGGGAGGTAACCAAATAGTTGATGAAGAAAAGTTCTATAAAGAAAAACTCAAGTTAATAATTGCAAAAGGGGCCGGCCCATGGCTCACTTGGGAGAGTGTGGTGATGATAACACCAAGGCTGCGGGTTCGGATCCCTATATAAGGATGGCCAGTTAGCTCACTTGGGAAAGCGTGGTGCTGACAACACCAAGTCAAGGGTTAAGATCCCCTTACCGGTAAAACAAT